AAATAAAATAAAATAAAATAAAATAAAATGGAAGAGATTCTTACTTTTGTGTGTGTGGTTGGACATTGAAATTGATTTCCCACAGAGGTGACTGAAACACCACTCACTGAGATAATTAGGATTTACTTAGATCATCACCCGAACAACTTGATCTAACATTTAAGTCCTATCCCTTGTCGAAGTTTTGCTTTGAGCAGCATCCTGGGCCAGATCATCTCCAGAAGCAGCCCTTCCAACCTACACTATTCCACGGATTATCTCTTTACTTCGAGATTTTATAAACATTTAGCCTTTAAATGATTCAGTCTTTTAAAAGTATAACTTTAATTATGAATAAGCATTACACTCCCTCGGTTAACTGAATCGCAAAATATTTTCTATGAAATTCCAAGGTTTCAAGCAGTGAAAGAAAAAACAGATTTTTATTCTAAAGTAAATAGCAAAGAAGTAGTTTATATCTTATTCTACTAAAGCGCTGATTATATACTCAGATTTATTCAGTATGTGACTAACACTTAAATACAACCGAATTAAAATCATTAGTTCACTCAGTTTCTCACCTTGGAAGTGAGGTACTGATCTGCAGCCTTGGCAAAGCTGGAATGACTTCAACAGTGCAGCCATTGCTCTTCACTCCTGGTAGATTGTCCAGAAGGCAATCACTGAAGACTCCAAAAACTGAAGTATGGTAACCTGATTTTTAGAAGAAAACCCCAGTGTATTGTGAATTTTTCTGTTTTCTTAAGAGTGTACCTGTACTAAGCTCACTAGTCAGATCTCGCCAGTATTTCTGTCAACCAAACCACCATCCTCTCTACACAAGAATCTTCTCAGGAGAGAAAATATATAAAATGCTCTCAATCCCACTAAATAACAACATTTATAACCATATGACAAGTCATAAACAACATACATGTATGCCTTCATATCTGTGACACGTAAATCAAATTTTAAAAGAAATTTAAAAGGCTCCATGGTTTCTACCATGTTTTGTGGTAAGATCTGTGGAATCCTTTACAAGACCAACATCACAAGTCATAGTATAGGGACCACTTTTTTTTATACATCATCTAATCCACCTGTGACCCTTCAATATATGTTAACAGTTGCCTATTTCCCCCTCAAAAAAATGTTTATAGGAAGAAGTTTTAACTGTATATAGACGCTGAGGAGAAAAGAATCCCAAAGGACATTAATTAGTAAAAAAAAAAGTATATATGCATACACACACAGAGACCTGCCATAAAAGACCACAACTTATCCTGTGAAAGCTCCGTTTAGTAGGAAAGTAATTCTACACCGATTGCTCACCAGGCAATATATACAAGTCATATCTGATGGAAAACTTGAAACATCGACACACAAACAGTTGCCAAGTACATGAATCAACTCCTCTACTTGGAATACATTTTTAGTGTGTGAAACTAAAAGCAGACAACTACAACACAAATGTTCTGAATGCCTTGATGCCATTTTGTAGATTCTGAAATAGTTTCTGGGGGAAAAAAATAACAAAAACATCAAACGAAGATTCATTTTATGAGCAGACAGAAAAGCACTTAAAAAACCTCAGTGAGATGAGAGTTTCTTCAAGTTCAAAGCCATCTTCTGTTGGTCTTTAGCTTTACTAAAATGGTACTTTTCCTGTAACTCTGTGTTCCAGGAACACGCACCTAAAATTGTGTGTTGGTGAGATAAGTGATTGTTGAATCTATCACCTGCTCATGTACCTCCTTTTCTAGGAGACTGATCTGCTCATTTTCCGCAAAAGCTCTTTAACTCTCTTTACATACTACAAACGCAGCTTTATTTAGGCTTATTAATCTCAACTGAAACACATGACACACATCGGCTACATTGTTTCTGCAGAAGCAATCTGCAAAAATTTCTGTAATCTTACATGAGCAGAACTAATTAAGAAAAACGAAGTGCAAGATTATTTTATGCATTCCCATGAAAAAGTTCAAGTAATCCTCCTTCGAAGCTTTCCAAATGAAAACATTAACAAAGGGGAGTTTGAGTTCATTATCCTTTTCCTCTCATTCATGAGATATGGTAAATATGTGTTCATTACTGCTGTTCCAACCAAGCGATTTTTCAGGCTATGTGGGGTTTTTGATGAAGTCTAGTATGGAAAATGAACTGCTTTTCTTTTCTGGCTTGTTTTTTTTCTTACTTACTGAGGAAAAATCAGAGTGGTGAATAAATTCTGTGGCGAAGCGATGTAAAACACGTGGCTGTTTTGCTAGAAGACAATGACTAAAGATATCCCTTACCATTGACCGTGATCTGGCCTGTAGTTTGAGGAACACCCACAAGAGTCACCGGGTAGAGACCAGATTCTGCAGGCAGAGAAAGAGCTGCAGGAAGAGATTCGAATTCTACGCCTGTTGTCAAGAGACCCTGAAAAAGTCATATGAGATAAAGCCATTTATGATACACATTTCCATCACCAAAAGTTTTATAATTGATTCCAATTTGCTCATAGCAGTTATTCTGGTTTTTACATTCCAGTGACTGAAGCACACACCTAGAATTATGGCAAGATTTTTATTCAGCAGTGAAAAATGTTTCAGGATCCGAGGTGGGAACGATGCACGAAAAACTAGTAAACACTTATACACAAGCACAGTAATAAGAATGAGTAACTAAGAATGCATGCGGTTGTTTTGTGCCCAAATTTAATTGTACCTGTGACCTTACTTATATATTTGCTTATATTTTGAGCAGTAGAAATCAAATATCAGTAGTGGCTCTTCCTTAGATTTAATAAAAGTTCCTGGCCAGAAAACATTTACCTATAGTGAGAAAAAAAATTTAGTATTTAGAGATAATAGAGCAAGTTTAGCTTTTCTATCCAACCTAAACATTGCAATGTGTTGCAATAAGGCATTTGGGGTGTGATTCATTTTGCTAAACCGATTCTCTATCGAGCCTAGGTGCCGGCAGTTAGACTGTACCATTTACTCCCTTAGTGTCAGAGAATATTTTTAGCATCCTAAATTTAAAACATGGGACAAAATAAAAAATAAGAAAAAAAATTAAAAGTAACCCACAGAAATGAACAAACTTTTAAACACAGCTTCACTGTCCTTAGTAGATTATTGGGTTTTTTAAAGCTCACTTAAGGAATTTGATGCTTGAACACCGAATGTGCTGGTACAAGTAAGAACTTCAATGTTGCAAAGCGCACAGAAGTCTAAGTTCCCAGCTGCTTTTCTATAGACATAAATTTTTATTTTTATTTTTTAATAAAGATGCCATCCAAACATCTCAATCAGTTAATGCAGTGACTGGGTTAAACCCCAGCTCCACAGGAACTCAAAACTCTATGAAAGAGGTACATACTAATTTTGTAGACAGATGAAAGATCTCATAGTTTTTGCCACAGAAACCCAGAAAGAGACTGAAGATTGAACAAAGTGAACCTGCACAGTGCTGGAATATCAGCATTGCTTCCCTCTGCAAACATCGACGACTGCCTCGTTTCTAATTCAACTGGGTTTTGAATGATGCAGCTTTAATGCTCGTGTCAGCTGTAAAAGGCAAACTAGCCCTTTTAGGTTTCAAATTCTCAGTTAGAAATTAGGAAAATTGATACTTGCATAATAAGTACTTAAAGAAACATAAATGTCACCATCAGAATTACCCAGACAATGACTGAAACGTGACCTGTCATCTACATTCAGTCTTTAACGACCTGATTTGCATTGGGACCAACCACTCAGAGAGACTGCTTCACGCAGTTCCTGGCTATTAACCAAAAATCAGTCCACCGACAGCCAAAAACTGAACTAAATTGAAAGTCACTATCTGAGTTTCTTCCCTCTTCAAAAGGCAGTGTGTCTTCTGAAAATTAATGAACAACCATCTTTTATGTACATGCTACATAACTAAATGAATACCTTGCACCTAAGATTTTTAATGGCAGAGTCCTAAACACACCAGAAGCGTAAGAAAGCAAACTGAACAGGTTTGTCAGGTTCTGGATTTCTCTTCTACTGAGGATCTCATCAAGATGGCAATATACTGAAAAGCTATAAAATCCCTACTTTGATCAAATTTACTCTTGCCTTGTGGGAAGGTGTGTTAGAGAACTCCATCCTTAATACTGCACAAAATTCCAATTCATCATTTTACTTGAGTTATAAGAAAACACTGTGTCAAACCCTCATTTCTATGGAATTTCAGGTTTTTTCTCAGTTCCACATGGAGACTTTGGCTGTCGGAAACAATCCACCAAAAAGAAAACTAAAAACTAATTCTGTCTTCCTAGACAATCACCACGCAGCGTATGAGAGCACTAACACTTTTTAATTCCTGCTTCGTAACTGCAAGTTTGGTCACTACTTTACAAACAAGGATTAAATAGGCTTTGTCTGAACACTGGGTGAAATATTCCTTGCAATATTTCAGAATGAGATGAAAACAATCACTGCAATACCTTGTCAATACAAACTAATTTTAGATATGATGCAATATAACTGTTTACATGTGACTCAACGTGACTCCTTTCAGTAAGATTCATGCCAGAACAATGGGGTGAACATTTATAGTTTAAAACTGACTCAGCCTCAGGCTTCCTCATTATCGTTCTGCTTTTCCTTTGGCCGAAGTACATCTTAGAAGACAGACAAGAAGTGACCCCACATACACTCTGAAATTCACTTCTAAAACAGGTACAGAAGGCTTCGTAAGATTATTTCAGTCCTAAAAGCACTATACTATCACCTTGGCCAAATATTCAAATATATTTTAATTATTCAAGATTCACTTCAGCTAAATACTTCCATCCAAGGACTTAGAATCCTAAATATCGATGTCAAAAAAAAAAAAAAAAAAAAAAACCTCCAACATCTTGTTTACTATCAGCTACAGCAAATATAGGTAAAAGAACAGACAGGGAGTCCTAAATATTATCTAACCCGCCTCCCTCCTCTGAAGCAGAGCCAGCTGCACATTAACAATTCCCAGCAGGTTTATCTGGGGAGTTTTGGAATGTCATAGAATCATAGAATGGCCTAGGCTGGAAGAGACCTTAGAGATCATCTAGTCCAACCTCCCTGTCATGGGCAGGGACGCCTCTCAACTAGATCAGGTTGCTCAAGGTCTCATCCAGCCTGGCCTCGAACACCTCCAGGGAGGGGGCAACAGCAACTTCTCTGGGCAATTTATTCCAGAGTCTTGCCACCCTCAGACTAAAGAATTTCTTCCTAAGATTCAATGTAAACCTATTCTCCTTCAGTTTAAATCTCTTTCCCCTTGTCCTATCAGTGGACACTCTTATAAGAAGTCCCTCCCCAGCCTTCCTGTAGGTTCCCTTCAGGTATTGGAAGGCAGCTATTGGGTCCCCCCAAAGTTTTCTCCTCTCCAGGCTGAACAATTCCAGCTCCCGCAGCCTGTCCTTATAGCAGAGGTGCTCCAGCCCCTGGATCATCCTTGTGGTCTCCTCTGGACTTGTTCCAACGGATCGATATCCCTCTTACAGTGGGGGCACCACATGTAGTCTTTAAGAGAGAATTAGGTAACACAATGCAGTTGTTAAACCGGAAAGTCCTTCCAGTTCAGACGTTCTCCTAACAACTAGACCAAAGTTTTCTGCACTCCACTACTTCTCCACTCCTAGCTAGCTCCTCCAATTAGCCAGTACATCAAATGCCTCTGAACACATGCGGAACACTAAGAAATGACACCATCATTGCAAAACCACGGTCAGGTAACTTTTTTCAAATATGGGAAGCTCCTTATTAAGACACAGCTCTAATTAGCCTACTTTTTCTTGGGGCCAGGGGGAGATGGAAGAAATGAGTAAATAAAGCTTTCTCCCATGTTCTTAATCCCACTTAAGCCAGATGTCAGGATGCACATTTAATACATTCATTTCACTTCTGGTAGTATAACCAGTCTGGTGCTTTTATTTAATACAAATAAGTCCCATCCCAGCAATTAGACACCCTCCACTATCACACTGGATTGAGGGAGACCACGGGAAGACGCTCTCCTGAAATCCTTTTAGGGTCTTGTAAAGGAAAAAAAATAATCTCAAGGGGAACGGTAAACCAGCACAGCCTCAAGAAACCCATCTATAGTAGCCAAGCGTGCGCATATACAGGCTGCGGTACCACCCCAAAGTTGCCAGTCAAATCCTACTGCCCAGCCAGACTTTTGATATATGGTACATATGAGCTCTCTCGTTGCAGGGAATTGAGGCTTGGAATGGATCAGAGTCAAGTAACCTTTGAGGAAATAAATATTACAACAATGGGGAGGGGGAGAACTGAGAAAAGTTAAATAAATCAATGGGAATTCTTTTAAAGGTTGAGGCTCAGGAAAAGCAATGATCATAACCTAGCTGTCATGGAAAGCATTTTCTTCACCAAAAGATTTAACCTGAGTATGCTAACAGCAGGCAAAAATCAAGATAAATAGAGACGGTAATGGCAAAAAAGGAACGTGAATGCATCTGGAGTACAATCACCTAAATCATGAATGTGCTTACAGACAAGAAGGAAGAGTTACTATTAAGAAAAATTGCTCGTATTAAAATTATTTAATAGCAGTAGAGGAAAAAAAAATTGCTACACACAGTGTACGTTGTTCCCTAACCCTTGAAATCACATCTAGATGAGACCCTTGGATCATGCTGATCACAAACACAGCAGGCTGATTACAGATAACTGCTAAAGTAAAATAAGTCCTCAGCACAATGTATTTTGCTTAAAATGCATTAAGAATGCTTTCTCAGTCTATTCTTTGACAAACTCTATGAAAACAAGAGCTTTTTCTAGGGAACAAACGCAATGCAAACGCCAAACCATCTTTGCAGAGCACATTTGCCTGGACTAGAAATTAAAGCCTTAAGTGTATTATCACACAAAGGAGAACATAGTCTTCACTTCTTTCCATAAGAGAATTTTACTATTCAGTAAAACTTCAAGTTTTAAAAAGTAAAGATACTAAGAAAGCATAAAACCTCACTGAAATGTAAAAAAAATATATATATATAAAACTCAGCTAGGTTTCAGAGTTCCAGACACGTGCTGAAATCAAGGCACTCACCCTTAAAACTTAACCCACACAAATAAATTTTAAAAGACAATCACATATCTAGAATGTTTGAAAGACATTTTTCAACATCACAATTGGCCAAATAGCACGATTCAACAATATTTGCCCAACATTGCCCTCTGGTGTGTAAAAATTTTTTAGACTAAGAGTGAAGATCATCAAATCAAGGCTGAAGTACTGCAATATCCTTTACCTAAACATATCGGACAGACACAAGAAATATGAAATAAGTGTTATATTTCTTTTCCCTAGCGTCTTGTATCCTATTTCAAGTAATAATATTTAGTAATTATCTAGCACTCATTGCTCTTCTTGACCTTATAGGAAAAGTTTGC